TTAATAAAGTTCATGAAGTACTCCTTTTACCTCAGTTTTCGTAATTACGGCTAGGTCCATTTATTTATTTATTTATTTATTTATTTCAATTTAAAAATATTTTTAATTAATCTTTTTCTTTTCTTACGTTTGAATTTAGTTAGCAAAGATTTTAGCATATTATATTATATTATCAGTCTCTGACCTAACAATTTTAGTATATTATATAAAACACATTCATCCTATTATTTCCAAAATGCATATAGTTGAGTTCATTCTTCTTTTGTATACACAAAGACAGTTAATGCTCACCTCTGATTGAAAATCATCCATGCTTCCAGGCTTTTCCACTTCAGCTCGCCAGTGTTTGTTGACAACATCGCCTGCTTTCAGATCTATATCCACTTCGTCACAAACATAAGTAAGGCTCAACATTTGGAAACACAACATCACATATATAACTGCACCGAGCTATTAAGGAAATCGTATCCGTTAATAAATCTTTGAAGTCAAATTAATACTTCAGTTATAGTTACCACAACTGTTAGGCCAAAATTTTCAAGTTTAAAAGTGTACATAGTGAAGATCGCAATACAAAACGTAAGCACCCATACTATAATCAAATAAACACCATAAACTATGTTCTCATGATGTAATGTCACAACAATAATAAAGATGAGGACACATAAGGAGATCTATTTTTATAGATTTAAATATTTTTAGAATTGCTTTAACATTTCTCATTACAGAATTGATACTTACAAACCATATAAGAATAATTAGGATAAACAATCCCGTCAATCCCCCTTCATCTTCATCAATATCAACCATTTTTCACTACTGAAAAGAATGCTTAAAACATATTATTTCTTCTTGTACGTTTTACCGTACTTATATTAATTATTTATTCTTTGTCCAGAATGAAATAAAAATGATATTAGCTTTTTGAATAAAATAAAAATGACATTAGCCAATTTACATGTTTTCTTGCGTGGCCAGCTCCTATCATTTTTAACATGGACGAGTATCATGTATGTTGCCACATCATGTATATAGAAATTTTCCGGTTGGAGTATAATATTACCATTATTAAGCCTTTTTTTTGTAAGCATATCGCAAAAAAATAACTGTTTATTTTAAAAATAACGTATGTATCAACAACATTGCTGACTTATTTAGTCCAACTTCTTTGAAACCGCGTAACTAATAAGCAGTTCAAATTGTATGGTTGCCAAGACTAAAAATTCATCTATTGTGAACGACTTTTGGAAGTACCTACGAAATTTCCAGTTAACTGTCAACGAATGATTTCGTTAGTTATTCGTATGTCATTGTTGATAACAATTACGTTACTTTTATTTTATTATTTTACTGTTAAAAGTCACGAATATTCAAATTTTATTCATAATTATGTAAAAAAAAAATATTTTTCCCAATAATTACACAGAATTATTATTCCTTTTCGAAATTTTAACTTTAAATTCTATTACGTGTTTTGCACATATAACCCTAACAAAATTTATATTTTATCCAGAGTTGTCATCAGAAGTTGTGCTTATTATATTTGTTATTTTGCGACACGCTTGCAGAAGAAAAAGCCAATTATTATGGGTCTTTATTAACCGTAATACTAGGGACGATCTCTCCATGGAACTACAACTAGCCAGAACAGCGTAGCTCTAAGTAAACGGGAATCAACCGGAATGATATTTGACATTGCCAAAACTAAAATCATCGGTAGCTTCCTGCAAGAAAGGTCCTTCCTTACCAAAATCTACAGCACTCTTTCGTCCGCCCGCACAATAAAAGCAGGTGTACCTCAAAGGTCGCCACTGTCACCCACATTGTTTAATATAGATATATACGGCAGACATTCCCACCTTAAGCCCTGCATCAATGTCGTTTTACGCAGACGACACGTGCTTGATCTACTCTGACCGGGATGCCATAAATGTAAGCAACACCTTACAGGTAAATATAGACCTCATGGTGGAATACTTGCAGAAATGGAAGATTAAAATTAGCAATGACAAAATCAAGGCTATATTCATAACACAAAAGAGAAGGCAGCATCCTCCAAGAGTGACCGTTGGTGACGCTTAGATACTGTGGGAGGAAAGCATAAAATATCTGGGGACCACTTTTGACAATCGGCTCAATTGATATAAACATATGAAATACAAACGGAATGCTGCTCTAAAATTCTACATATTCTAAAGCCGCTGTTTAATAATAATCACTTCAACCTCAAAAATAGAGAGTTACTAGGTATTCTCAAATAATTAGGCCAGCACTACTGTACGGATGTGTTACATACAGCAAAGCCTACATTGCCATAAAGCAATTACAGATAGCACAAAACCTGGCTATAAGAAGACTATTTAAGATTCCATGGTATTTTAGAACAACAGACATACACACAGTTCTAAGGATCGACTCAGTGAAAAAATATATCAGGGACAAACCTCAAACACTTCGGCCAGTAAAGAAAAAAGTGTTACCAACGCAATAAGTGAACTAATATGAGTATTCTTTAGGAATTCCAACGAATATTGCAATCATATTTCAAATATCATATGTAAACAAAAAACCAAACAAAACTGAAAAATTTTATAAATTATAAAATTGGGAAAAAAGAAAAAATTTCAGTGTTTTATTTTGAAATTTCTTACCATTCTTTTTAATTCTGTATTCGTTTTAATTTTCAATTTTATATTAACTATTTATTTTTATGCTAAATGTAATTTGCTTGCATTATGTGCACTTGGTAGATTCCAGCAGTGATGCCAATGTCTCGCTTAGCGAATATAGGCCAGCATGCGTTTTTTGTCACACTTGCGAGCCACCCTAAACGCCTATTCTACAATTTTATATTATATGATCAGACGTGGTTTATTGTTTCAAAATATTAATAAAATAATGCACCAAGTATCACTTAAATTAATACCAAAAATTCCTACTTTATAATCTACATAAAAGTTAGGGGCTTCATAATCTGGTATCGCTAGGGACCAATAAATTTATGCGTGCTTTCGGCTATACAGGTCAACCTTACCTATTCCGTGTTTTTAATGCAGTTGGCTTACGTCTTTCATTTTGGTTTTATTTTGTATTTTTTGTGTAGTTAGCTGGTATTTCTTTACTTGTTTTCTATTTATGTACTTACCTTCTGCTCAAAAAGTATCCGGATTTTGTTGTTTGTTAACTACTCCTTAAGTAATAGACGTTTTTCAAAAATTTGTTATGTTGGTACACCCTTTCTTGACATATGGTACAAATTTGAGCGCCATTTGTCAATTAATTTGTTTACAGTAGCTGTTAATGTGAAACTACCTTAAGTGCATTTAGCGACTTTTAGTATGGAAAATTCTTGTTGTACGCGATTTTTTGACCAAACACGGTACCACTGTCATCGCTCAGACACCATATTCGCCAGATCTGCATCCGTGCGACTTTTTCCTGTTCCCGAAACTCAAAGTACCCCTTCGTGGTAAGCGTTTTGAGTCGATTAAATCGGTAAAAGAGAATTCGCTGAAGGAACTAAAAGCCATACCTTCACGGGCCTACGAAAAGTGTATGGAAGATTTGGTTAAGCGTTGGCATATGTGTATCGCTTCAGAAGAAGCATAAAATAAATTTAGAATAAAATTCAATTTGTGTGTTCTATTTACAAAATCCGGGTACTTTTTGAGCAGATGGTATACATACAACGTTTAGTAACTAATCATTTATTTACAATATCGTGCCATATATACGACATATAGAAAATAAAATAAAACGCATTTTAATTCATTTTCATTAAGTTGCACATAACTGGGAATTTAAACTAACATAAAGTCAATTTATTTCTTGATATTGTAAAAACATTTAGTGAAAAATGTTGGAATCAATAATCCTTTTTTATAAGTATAACAATTTGTTTTTAAATTTATTTACATATTTTCAATATACATTAAGACATAAGTCTATAACAATAAGCTGATTTATATATATACAACTAATTTAGACCAAGCTACTAACCAATCTTTTATTTTAATCGTGTTGAAGTATAGGTATGAAGTATATATGAAGTATATATATATTTATATTTTTATATAATATATTTTTATATATATATTTTTTACATTTTTACAAATTTAAAAATTCTATTAATATTTATACATCCATAACGAAAACAAAACAATTTGTTGCAGTATTATTTTTAACTACTTACTCTTCACAATTCCCTTATATTTGAATATTTAATATGTACGGAAATAACATTGCATACATTTATTTTTTGTTTTTGTGCACACAACAAATCCATTAGATATGGTTACTAGCATGTGATAATGTTGATAATAGTAATGATGTTGGTAATCAGATGGAGAAAATACAGCATTAGAATCCTGCCCTGCAGTAAATTTAAAATAAACAAACAAAAGCAATAAATTGAAGGCAATGGCGAAGGATATAGCAAAAAAAGCGCAATATACATTAAAAATCAAACGAAATAAAATTAAACAAGGGGAAATCGAAAATTCAATCCCCATTACCATAGCCTACCCGGCTTACTCGCAACACCGATGGTGCTGCTGATGATGATAATGATGATGTTGCTGTTTTCATGTTAAACTAGATTAACATCAGTGGTTTGGGGGAGGCGTTGGTATGGTAATGGGCGTGAAAATTCCAAAATGTTTTTGTAACAAATGAAGTTGTGAAGTTGTTGGCTAATTTTTGATGTTTATTTATATTTGTTTATGGCCTGGTATTTGCCAATGAAGTTAAATGTTGTGAAACACACACAAAATATTGTCTTACCATTTGCCCGGATGCTTTTAAAATCTCTTTAATAATTTATGAAAGACAGATTTTTTCCTACTTTTTCAGTTTTTAAACTAACATAAATATATGTATATAATGATATAAGTACATTTGAGGTTATGGAATTATACATAGAGAAATACCAACACATATTCTTATACTTTCGACTATAGTATAAATAAGTATTATTTTAAATCAAGTTTTTAAGATTTTCATCACAAAACACGGTTGAGTAAACGAGAGGAAACGGAAATTATTAAGCAGTATCACGTCCGCTGGATATTCCCTGTACATTTACGTGCTACATTTCGTAAATGTGTAAATATATATTTAATCTCTAGACATGTTTAGAAAAGAGAAGTCCTAATTCTTTTGGGGGCTACTAAATCCTTTTGCAATAGTATATTTTACGGACATACGTTTTGAAACAAAATTCATCTTTGAAAATTGAGGGCAATAAACCCTTCACAAAACCCTCTAAATATGTCACTGGCAGAAAATACATACGGACATATGAAAGATAAATTTGGCTTTGATGTGCAGTACATGTGTAATATTCGTTCTATGATAAGTTCACTGCTCTCTCATAAAACCATACAACACATGTACACGTTCGCATCTTCATTCCATACTAGTCGTAAATTTTACCAAATTTTAGCTTAAAGCATTAAATTTTTACTGCTTAAATTTACTAATGAAAATTATAAACATAGAAAAATGTTCAACACACTTGCTGCCCAAATTGCTAGCCTCAGGATAAATTATCCTCCCCATGATGAAGACGAAATTTGAGTTTATGCATTCTGCTAATGATGCCAAAAGGTACCATTACCATACTGGATTTGTAAGGTAAAGGTAAAAAATAACTTTGCTACTAAAAAGCCACCACCAATGTCTGTCAGAATACATGGCTTCATTAACTGAGAAATTTTAGAAAGGGGAATCAATTTTTTACATAATTTTTGTTCAATTACATTGTATTAAAATATTATAAATAAAAGTTTATACTTTTAGTTATAAATCAACTTTTTATTAAAAGAATAGAGATACAGTTATGTTTTTTTACCTCATTAAAGACACATTTCATTTAAAGAAACATCAAGGAA